CTTAAAATTTTTAAAAATTTTGAAAGTTCTGGCGCAACAGCCACGAAAAGTCGAGGCCTCAGAGATCGCGGCTAGAGGGCGCTTTGAATGAATGAACTGGAGTTTTCTTGGTGCACGAATCAAGCTTCCCTCCCATCGGTGTGGTTTCCCGGGATTTCTCGGGATTTCCCGGGTGGCTTTTCTGCCTGGCCCTGGCCAGAGACCTGTTCCCGTCTTTGCCACCGAAACCCATCGACTGTCAGTTCTTCTGGCCGCAGCGGCCTGTGCATCCGGGGGGACGTCTCTCCGAATGTGTGGCTCACCCGCGGGTCCCAGGGGTTCAGGAGGGGAGGCCCCGCCCCGAGGCCGAGGTCGCCCACCTGGGTGTCAACAGGGGTTCTGCCCCTGGGGCCCCGCCTCCCCTCCAGTTCTCGGGGATCCTAGATCCGCAGTTTCCTACCTGCATAATAATTCCTTTTTGTTATGTGGAACGAATGGGGTTTTTTGGTTTGTTTTGGTTTTGGTTTTGGGTTTTTTTGGTGTGTTTTTTTTTTTTGCTTGTTTTAGAATGTACTGTTTGATCGAGTTCATTGTTTTGTGTATTTTTTTTAACCAGATGTTTCTGATGTTTGACAGTTTTTGCTTGAAAATAACTTGCCTTTTCTTTTTCTTTCTTTTTTTTTTTTTTTTTTTGCCCTGAACAACCACAGCCCCGGAGTTTTTTCCGTCCTGGCAGGGTTTCAGGCTGCATGCGGGGCATAGATGCCCAATTCTGAACTCCAGGGTCCGACTGCCTGGGTTCTGGTTCTGACTGAAATACAGAAAGTAGAACACGGAAAGTGTCCTGGCCCCTGGTCACCTGGCCCCTGGTCTCCTGGCCCCTGGTCAGCTGGCCTGTGGGAGGTGGTGGTCACAGCACTGCTTCCCGGGCCTGTGAGGGTGGAAGCTGTGCTAGGAGGCGCCCCAGACTGTGCCTGGAACGTGGTGTTTAACAAGTATCGGTGGTCACGAGGCTGTGCTCACAGAAGCTCCTGGGAGAAGGAGCTTAGTTGATTCTTTTCAAATTTTTGGGGGGCAAAAGTCTTAATAATGCAAATTCTTCTATAGTCCAACTGGAAGTAGTATGCATATCCTAAAGAAGTAGAAATGCGTGATTTATGTTTTAAAAACCGCTGATAACGAAACATGATTTGGAGACTGTGCCATTGCTTTGTTTACAATTAAGATCGTGTTGCAGTTTTATTTTATTGTGAACCTTGTTATTACCGGTAGCTTTTTTCCTTGTAATAAAATGAGCTAGGTTAGGAAAGTATATTTGACTTAAAAGTTACTATGGTGTAGAGTGTTGGTGAGTAACGGTTACTAATCTTGCACTGTAGTCTGAGTGGTGTATAATATGTATTGGTTATTATGCACAGTCTACTGTTACAGTAATTTAAAAATACCCTTTTGATTACAGCCTAAGGAAAAAATTGTTATTTCTGTTAACTGGACACCAGTAAAAGAAGGCCGAGTGAGAGAGATCCTGACATTTCTTGTAAATGATATTCTGAAACATGAAGTTATATTACTAGGAAATGCAGAAGAGCCAAGAAAGAAAAAGGTAATAACTGTTCATCATTCTGTGGTTTACTCTAAGAAAATGATCATGTGTAAAACTTATTTTGATAACACTCTTGTTGAGCTGAGTAACATATAAATTTTCTGATGAAAGGTAATATACAGCAGCCATTAACTTAATTTGTCTGTTTTGCTTATTTTTGCAGAGGAGTCTTTGGGATACCATCAAAAAGAAGAAAGTTTCGTCCTCTTCAAGCCATAAGAAAAGGATTTCAGACATTCAGAATGTTAATCAAACGTTTAGCGTTCCCCCCAAAGCTGACAGAGTTAGGAGCCCCCTACAAGCTTGTGAAAATTTGGGTGGCAATGAAGGCTGTTCCCCAACAGAAAACAATTCTCTCATCCTCCAAGAGAATAAAATACCCATTTCCCCAATTAGCCCCACTTTCAAAGAATGCCGTGGGGACACGTGCTTGCCACTCTGTGTCCGGCGGTCCACCACCTACACGTCTCTCCATTCGCCCGAGAACGGGGAGCTGTGGACATTAGAAGGTGCCCACATGCGCAAAGAGTTTAATGGGAAAGTCGTAACGGAAACTTCCTTTGACTCCTTGACTGGTATCAACGGCCAGATTGAAGAGGATGGCAAACGGAGTCTTACCCCAAACTGTTCTTCCACTTGGAACATGACCCAGAGCCAAGGGGATTTTCTAAGTCCAGATTCCTTTGTAAAGAACAGCCGCAGAGCGAGTCATAAACTAGAATCAGTGCCCGTT